CAGCAGGAATAAAAGCTATTAATATGAGCAAGAGACATAATGGTTTCAGTCACCAAAGTGTGCGCTGAGTCGACAGAGAGAGTCTCCTACAATGTCCAGCTCGTGTCTGAGCTCCTCGACCACATCGTTGATGCTGGGCATGTCCTTCAGCACACACACGCTCTGTGTGTACGGGTTATACCGCAGGGAGAATGGACGCTGGATTGTCTTTGCAAATTCACTGTGAAGAATAAAATAGAAGAAATATATGGTCAAAGCAAAACAATAGTGATATACGGCATGCAAAGGTAATAGGTCACATATTGAAAAACAGATTTACCGCATTCTAAATTTGGCTTCCTCAAAGCTCTCCGAAACAAAGTAAACATCTTGAAAGGTGGTGATGAGACACTCCTGTTTACAGGTGACATTGGGCTCAAAGGGCAGGATTTTAGCAGAGCCTGAGAGAGAGTGCTTTAAAACAAAACATATGTGTTTCAGAGTCATTCACTTCAGTTAGCTTCATTAACTGCAGTTACAGTACTGTTAAAAATTTAGGGTTAATAAGATATTAAGAAATTAATATAAGATATTAAGAATTTATCTAGCAAGGATGCAGTAAATGTAACAAAAGTGACAGTAACAATATTTATAATGTTACACAGGATTTCTATTTCAAATAAATGCTGTTCTTTTGAACTTTCAGTTTACACAAAAAGTTTCAACTGTGATTACAATAAGTAATGTTTCTTGAGAATTAAATCAGCATACTAGAATGATTACTGAAGGATGTGACCCTGAAAACTGGAGTAATGGCAGCTGAAAATTCATCTTAAAATATATTAAATAGAAAACAATTCATTTAAATTGTAATAACATTTCACAATATTCCTGTTTTCTTACTGTGTTTTTGATCAAATGAATGGAGCTTTGGTATCTTTTAAAGATATTTAAAAAGTGAACTCGCATATTTTTTCCATATTTTTTGTTCAAACTAGTTATTTGATTAAAAATTTTTGTTGTAATCTATAATTCTAAAACTGATAATGAGTATCTACCTTAAGTTCGCTGATTGAAGAGAGAAGCCCAGCGCCATATGCTCTGAGCGAACCCTCCTGCTTACACAGGCCAAACTCTACCGTGAAGAAATAGCACTGCAATGGCACACACACCAACATAACCACCATCAAAACTACTGCAAAAATTATTAAGGCTTTATGCCTAGGACAGCAAAATGTACAGAAATACATACTGTTGCTAACTTCTGCACAGCATCATCAGACGCACCGAGAGAAGCCAGTCCTAATTCCTGAGAGAACTGTGCAAAACCGGGTTCGGCCAACAGAGGAACATGACCCAGCAGCTCATGACATGTGTCCCTGAAAGACACAGACATGAAGATCTCTTTAATTGTTTGTCAAGTTTTTCGACCAAGCAGAATAAGGCCTAGTTCACAAGACATATACAAACAGTGTGTAAGTGATGCAGGAGCAAATGCGCATAAAGATATGATGTGAACATTGTTACTGCTGTAGAATTGCAGCTCTGTGCAGAGAAGGATTGATTTCTGAGTGATTTCTGGGTTACCACATTGAGTATTTGTTTTAAAGGGCACCTTTATGTTGTTTATGATTTTACCTTTCCTTTAATGTGTAATAAATCTGTTTGTGCATGTAAACCATTTGCAAAGTTACAGAGAAACCAAATGGAGATAATCTCCCCAATAGAAAACACTTGCCTAAAACACTGTTTGTAGTCCCGCTATTATCTCCCTGACTTGCTACATCACCATGTTAAACATTTGCATAATTTCTGCCCTCAAAGAACAATTAGGTAAGTAATTTCGCTATGTCTATGTAAATTAGATGCTGCAAGGGCGACAAAAACAAAACAAACATTGAATGGACCAACGCCACAGTTACCATAGATTTAATACTGTTTAAAGTTGCTCATTAAAACTCAGGAGCTAAAAACCCAATTGACTAATCAACAACCAATAAAACAACAGGCTGGCCCAACTGACCAATCAGAGCAAACTGGGCTTTTCAGAAAAGCGGGCTTTAAAGAGACAGGAACTAAAACAGAGTGGCTGTGTCCGAAAGCTTAAAGGTGGGGTAAGCGATTTTCAAAAACACTTTAGAAAACTGATTCGGGCCGAGAAGCAAAACAAACTTGTAGCCAATCAGCAGTAAGGGGCGTGTCTACTCATGATGTGGAGGAGAGAGAGTTCAGTGCACAGGACGGACATTAGCCGAGCCGAGCGACAGAAATATAGAGATGGCGGATAAAAAAACAAAAGAGGAAAACGTCTGTGGAACTAAAGAAGGCTTAAGGCAATAAGGCAAGAAGTAGGACCCGTGAAAATATCGGATGCGCCGCAACAGCTAAAGTCTGTCTAGTACACTGGACGCGACAAAGCGACCGTTGAAAATTATTTGAAATTTGTGTCAATAAGTCATAAATAGAACGCAGTTTTCTGTCGGGGATTTGTCGTGACGCGCCGCATTCAGTGTAGACAATATCACTGATTATAATGAATTCAATAGTATTTTGTGGCGCGCCGCTCGCGTCCGGTGTAGACACGGTGTAACATTGGTTTTGCTTTGTTTCACAGAACTAATCGTTGCCTGGGTTGCGTACGTATGTGTGGGGCGAAGCTATCAAAATAGGGGCGAGACCCTTTTGGGGTAGGGGCATGTTTGTTTTGGTGATTTCAAATGTCAACATTGGCTACCAGAAATCACTTACCCCACCTTTAAGCTGCTGACTTGTTGCCAAACTGCCTTATCAGGCAAAGACTTTGAAGGCAGCATTTTTACACGAAGGCACCTCGTGAAACTGATTTCGGACAGGCTTCTGAGGCAGCGTAACAGTTTAAGGATCTACAACAAAATAGAGTGAGATTTGGTGATAACTAAGCTAATATTTAATTAATAATACTGATATCTCGCTAGAAGTAACATCAAAAATGGAAAAAGTTGGTCAGAAACATACATTTACACAGAAACTGACCACCAAATGCAACTTTCAGACGACATCTTTATTTTTTAGCTCAACTGTCACGGAATGGAATGCACAGGATTGTGGGATATCAAAGGCAGCGAAGGATACATCTATGCTGCCTTCAAAAATTGATCAGATAAAGACATTTCAGGAGACAGAAAGTGAAGCTGACATTGGATTTGGACGTGCCTGGATGCCTTCCTACCTTGGAATGCGTCCTCCGAAGGCAGCATTTTAGAGTTTTCAGACGCAGCCATTGTTTCAGGAGGTGCTGCAGCAGTGTACGAAAATGTTTTATTTTAAAGTATGTAAATGTACTCTAGCAGACCCCAAAAATAAATGTATGACTTTTAAATAAGCATAATAGGGGCACTTTAATAACTGCCATAAATATAAAATGATTATTGAGAGTATTGGCTATTAAGAATTATTATAAACTTGGATCATTCTGAAATCATGTGAGTGAGTTTCAGCATTGAAATGTGGTTGAAAGAATGTCAGTTGTTTCAACACTGAAAAAACACTGAAAAAATGTTTAATGCCAAATGAAAAAAAAACGTATAAATCAATATTGAAATTTTAACAAGATCTGTACAAAAAAAAAGTTAAAGCATTGCTGCAATACATCAAAATTTATTTGATATTCAAAATTTAAACAAAATTAAACAGTGATTGAACCTTGATCCATGAAGCTGATTCACCCAAGAATGGAGCCCAAACCCCAAAGTGCAAAATATAAACTGCTTAAATAATCTGGATTCAGTTTGATTTACTGTATAAAAGGTGATGTGTTTGTTTAATTTCTGCGTGTTTATGCATCAGGTGTGACAGACAGTGAGTGTTGCTTAAACAATGGGTGCTGCTTCATAAAAGCCTATTTCAAAAGATTGTGTCAATAAACAGGCCTGAAGAGATAAAGGGATATACAGTATGCTTTATACTCACGGTTCAGGAGTGTAGAGAGGATCTGAGCTGTGACGCACATATTGTGTACAGTGAAACACTCTGAAGGCCAGACCAGCCAGAAAGTCTCTCGGTGACAAGTACCCAGCAACAGGGCGAATGGTGAAGCCAGTTCGCTCTGAAACACACATACAACAGTCATACAACTACTGCCCTCTGCTGGTGACACAACTAATACTTCTCGTCAGCTTGTATTGTAAAGTTCAAATGAATCTTAAAACACATACTTTATCACTGTGTGTGCACTCATGATGTCTCACCTCTCAGGAAGTTGGACACGTCCTTCAGCTGTGGTATGTTGTCCTCTCTGTAGCCACAGTACTGGGTGAGCAGAGGCAGGCTGTTCAGGTACTCTAGACAGGCATGTGTGGGGTACAGCTTATTCAGCTCCCGAAAAACGACACCCCACGTCTTCACCTCTTCCTCTGTAAACTCTACACGTGGTATAGGTTCTCCACTGCGGAGTGAGAGAGAATCATGTGAATATTAAAGATAAATATGTGGAATTAATATAAGAGTTTTAAAACCTTATTGTTAAACGTACTGTTTGTAACTCATGGCAAGATCAGCAAAATATTTCCTTCTCTTACGATAAATGTTGTCTTTGAATCCCTGAAATCATATAGGAACAAATGCATACGGTTTTCATGCATAAGGTAGCAGCTCAGATACTGAAGAGTATTATACATGATCAGTATGACATAAATACTATTATCAGTGAATTTCCACAGCCTAATTCTCTAGCAAAAAGTGAGACGATAATGACCGGATGATCCGCGTCCAAATCTGAACCATACATCAGAACACGACAGGCACTCTTATCCAGATCTGAGATCTTCTTGGGGAACCAAGGCACCTCAGCAAGATCTGAAAAATGAATGTTCACAGATTTATATACAAATTTCTGTGCCTTACTCATCTATCTAATGGAGTAAAACACAGTACCGTTCGCAGGAGTCGAGAACCTATCAGGTGAGTCCATGGTTATGATGCTTGTTTGTTTGCGCAGCAGCTGAACAACCTCTTTTAGAGTTTCTCGATCACTGTCACAATCCACCAGTACTTCCAACTCGGAGTTACGCCGCCGGGACTTACGTGACTCAATATGCAAAAGCTTTACCTGGTTGTCCTGTTTATAATGAATAAAAATATGTAATTTAGCCCACTGTAAATTTACATTTAATATAAATCACATATTTACTGTTTGAATAATATTTATACAAAATACATTCATTTGTATAATACACATATTTGAAGATGTACCAGATTTATAATATGTGATATCTTTTACACTGCAGTGACATGGAGTGAGAAGAAACTTGATACAGTATCTATAAATTTAATTCATTCAGAGTGCGTACTTTCCATAGTAGGATTTCAAAGTTATTGTTTATTGCATTAGCTGGAATTACTAAACAACTATTTAACCATCCGTGCCTTTTTTGTGTCATTTATATATAACATGATTCTACTGAAGCTGAAAATACTGAAAATAATCAAATACAAATTAGATAGAAAGATGATACATTGAGATTAATTAATTGAATGAAAATAATAGGTATGACAATAATACAACATTTAAAGAAGCCAAAACATTAATGTACCTGAAATAATTTTAATGCCTTCACAAGCCCCCCGACTTCATTCTTCAGAGAGAAGACAATCGCAGCATGTTCTCTCTTGGAGGAACATATCTTGTCTTTGTTCTCGTCTGTCTTATGGAAAGTAGTTTTTTTCAACTTAATAAATAGAGAGAGGGATAGATAGATAGATAGATAGATAGATAGAGAGAGAGAGAGAGAGAGAGAGAGTACTATTATAATCAGTGTCACTGGGTTTTACTCCGGTGTCTCTTCACATTAGCATGACAATCTCTCTACTACAGAGCAGATGTTTAATATCCCGTGAGAGTGAACTTATGTTTGTTTTTGACGTTTTTCAAACAGGAAATCGTTATCCACAGGCTAATAACATGTAAAGAACATTATTTCCAAAATGTTGGGTAGGATGCATGCTAGCAAACAGGTATATATGACTAGACCAGCACTGTGGTGGACAGCAACTTTAAAGTCATGAATAAGCAAATCAACAGATGACCGTTTTGCAAAATACAATGCATAACCAGTGTTGGGGGTAACGCATTACAAGTAACGCGAGTTACGTAATCAGATTACTTTTTTCAAGTAACTAGTAAAGTAACGCATTACTTTTAAAAGTAACTTTCCCCAACACTGTGCATAACAGATCAGAAGTTCATACACATTCAAAAATGAATGTGTGGAAAGTTTTATGACATCCCAACAAACATGAGAGGTCGGCCCGACGTGCAGATCATGTCTATATTGCGTCGGTCGGTCCAGGACCGTATCTGTACGTCTAATCGACGTGCAACGTCGTTTGGACGTACCTTTGCTCAGTGGGATAGCCTAATATCTATTTAAATGTACATTAACGATGTTAAGTACATATAGTACGTATAGTATTGTTGTTAATAATGATGTTATTAATGAAAGTTTTTGGAAGGAATTAACTTCAAAATATATATCAGCTATTATATTCCTTTCTCTGAGTCTAAACATCAGCAATTCATGATTGCCCTAAATTCTCAAGACATTCAAAATTCATTTCATCAGCCGTTCTGGCAGCTCACTTTTGTCTCCATATTCAAAAATGTTAGCATTTTGGTGTGTAAAAATATTAGCAAAACGGTTAGCATTTGGATATGTAAAAATGTTGGCATTTTGAATGTCACAAGTTTTTCTTACCTCATTGTTGAGTTGCTTCTCTTCGTAACTCTTATTGGAGTCAAAAGACTGTCCTCGACGCGGTCCGTCAAGCTTGCTGGAGAGCATGGATGGGTTCTCCTGTTTTCATAGTAGAATATGGAGAGGTGCGGGGCTCAGATAGACGCTTCTGTCAGTCTGATAATGATGTTTTCTCTATGGATTTATAAAGAGATCAGGCGGAGGGGGGGAGGAGCGCGCGGCTCTGGAAAGTCCGACCAGCCGACCAGAAGATTTTCGCTGGAAAAGGTTCAGCAATCGAAAACTATTTTTTTTCCTATTTTTTTTATTGATTATTTTTGACAGTTACCTACTGTACTTTAAAATGTACTGCCTTAATGTATGACAGATTGTTTTTGTTTTTTTGTGTTCAACTGTTTTCCCAAGATCTACAGAAAAAAAAGAAAAAGATGTTGGATGTTTTCATTCATTACATAACTGATATAATTTAAGGACGTTTTAAAATAAATATTAGTAAAACACATACAAAACCACTGCTGGAAAATGATACTTTTGACTCACAACCTTAAAGTTACCCCACTGACAACAAGCACCATCTCTCCTAAAAAAAACTTTTATTTGTATTTTATAACACTTGTATTTTTATTGATAGAACGGAAAATAGTTAACAGGATTGTCACTTCTTCTATTTTTTTTGTGATTATTTTTGACAGTTACCTACTGTACTTTAAAATGTACTGCCTTAATGTATGACAGATTGTTTTTGTTTTTTTGTGTTCAACTGTTTTCCCAAGATCTACAGAAAAAAAAGAAAAAGATGTTGGATGTTTTCATTATTCACATAACTGATATAATTTAAGGACGTTTTAAAATAAATATTAGTAAAACACATACAAAACCACTGCTGGAAAATGATACTTTTGACTCACAACCTTAAAGTTACCCCACTGACAACAAGCACCATCTCTCCTGTACAGCTTATTATGCTTATATTGATAATGATCTATATCATATTGGTTAGGCCTATCACCCTCAAGAGTCAGATCATAATAAACACTTTTGTACTTACACTATTCATAATGTTCATTAATTTATAATAGTAATGTTTAATATTGATTGAAGTATCACAAAATGTCAATAGAATATGGCACGTTAATTACCAGTCTATCAGTAGTTGATCAAGATCACAAGAAAAGAGAGGAAAAAAACAATCCATTAAAAGATTCATAAAAAAACGAGTCGTAGGCCTTGGCATTTAAACACACCCAATCTTTCATTTGGTTCATAGTCAACGTTCGTTTATTTATTGACTCTTTCCAATGTTGGTCTGGGATCAGTGAGCTTTGTTTCCACACCTCTGCGGAAAGATCGGTGATGAAGTGATGTGGATAACGGTCTAATAAGACACGGCAGCAGGCCTAGATTAACTGGAGATGACTGATTCGGAATGTGCTTGTCACTGGTTCCTGTTATCTCTAAACCAATGGCCCCAATCCACACTCCAGTCCGGGGGTGATTTGTTCCAAAGGGAGAAACATGGAAAATAATAAAAGCACGTCAATGAGCATGGCTTGGATTAATAATGATGTGGTAGTTATGAGCAATGGCTGTTTACAAGCTCACACCAGCATTAATTAGCTCAAAATGCAATATAATTAGGTACTGCTGTACGTCCATTTCCAAACAACATGACTAATCTTTTATTCAGACGTTCTCACGCTACTTCTGTGCTTTATTGGTCCATTGTCTGTGCCTCCCACTGCTTGGTCATTGATCTGAAAGACCTCCATACCCCTCCTCAGGGGGACAGGCAGACAGTCTTTTGTAAGGCAGCCCATAAGTACACATCTCATTAGGCTTTATGAAGTGAGAGCTTCACCATCTATTGAAACACAGCCAGTTTATAACAGTTCCAACAGCATTCTTGCACTATTTTTGTTTTCACTAAAATATTTTTGCACTATTTAGTGCAAAGGTAGAATACAGGGATGCAAACTCATCATGGGTGAAAAAGGTGACCTGAGGTCGCTGAGGAAATACATCAACTTTGCGCTGTGGATCGCCGGATCGGCTTTCACCGTGGACGAAGCGGAGTCCAGCCCGGGGGCGTCACATGTGGGTGCCGCAAGCCCGCTGGACGGTCCTTCACC